ACACACACACACACACACACACACACACACACACACACACACACACACACATACACACACACACACACACATACACACACGCACACATACACACACACACACACACACGTGCTCGTTACCATAGATTTTAAATGTAGACCTGCACCCTTTCCTTGAGGACATATCGCTCCAAGTTAAACCCTAGCTCAGTCTCCTACATATATCGAAGCCTTGATCCGATGTTGTGTTATATTGAAGATATCATCAAAACTAACTCGTAGTCCCATGTTAAGGAGGGGTGAGGCTATGTTGAGGATAGCATCAGAGTTCATATAGAAAAAATCCGACTCTAACTTGAATAGAAAGTTCATTTGAAGACAGTAATCAAACAATTTACGTTCCGGATCCAAATGCACATACGGATCCTAGTTGAGAATGACATCCGCATGTACATCCACATTGAGGTCCAATGTTGTGTATAATTACAAGTATCATGAAAACTGAAAAAAACTCGTAATGCCATGTTGAGGGTCGATGACGCTATGCTAAAGATAACACCTGGGTCTTCATCAAGTACACTCTGTCCTGTCTTGATCATACACACGAGATCTAGGTAGTATTCGAAAAATATAAGAAAAACGAACGTATTTGCATTTGAACAACGATGTTGCGTTGGACATAACATCATCATTATGGACAAGGGGAACCCGGATGTCGTTATGCGAAGAATATCTATATATTGATCGGATGCCTTGCTGATGACGACAGTACCAAAACTACAATCACACTACGTTGAAACAAAACAGTACAATGAACATGAAATCATGATTCAGCTTCCTGCTAGGTCGTCTGATTCATTCATAGATACAATGTTAGATTGAAACTGCATTCTATACCCACAGCCTAACTGAAATCAACACGAAGATCCCAACAACATCCATATCCATACCCGCATCTGCATTCCCACAAAAGTGAAATCTACATCCGGACCCCATCCAAAACCCATAGTGCCAAAGAAAATTGTCACGTCACCTGGACTTGAAAACTCCCACCCATAAACACATTGGTCCACAACTTATATAAGTTAAAAAGACATGGCCTAACAACTAGTTGGACAACCAATCCAAAACTCGTGACATTCATAAAACTTGTGGCATGAGACAAATTGCACATCCGCAAACCTTGACCAAAACTCAAACCCGGAACAAGAGACTGATGTACACATAAACTCAAACCTGGAGACAGACCAAAACCACAATCATGACCCTAACCCTGACCCTGACCCTGACCGTGACCATAACCCAGACTCAGACCCAAACTCGATCCCAGACGCAAACTCGACCCAGACTTAGGCCCTGACCCAAAATCAGACCCAGATCCAGACTCTGACCCACACTCTAACCCAGACACATTCGAA